CCCCAGCACTGACCCCTGAGGGACACCACTCATCACTAGCCTCCACATGGACAACAAGCCGCTGGCCACAACACTCTGCGCGCGACTGTCCAGCCAAATCAATGAATTCTGTTTCCTACCAGTCAAATGACTCCACACCACAAAACTAACAATGATCTCCTTAATATAAATACAAGGATGCTATAACTCATAACATTCAGGAAGGCTTCTACTTAACTTTTTAATCTACTTTAGGGATCTATTAAGGCTTCTATAACTGATCATATTTAAGACTTTTAATCAAACAAAAATATGAACTTAAGATTCTCATTACAATTACACTTAAGCATGAAACTGATTTTATATTTAATCTTTAGTTCCTAAAGGAGATTATCTTTGCCTTTTCCTGTTTTCAAGACTAGCATCTTTACAGTCAAGATCTGCAGTTCAAAAGGAAAATTGCAGGCATTGTATGCATTGTATTTTAACCTGAAAATTAAATTTAATCATAGCCAACTTTCTAGAAGGAAATCATTTTTCTAAGACACCTTATAACTTTTGTTGGGTTTTTTGCAGCCCCTGAGGGGACTGTTGCCTACAGGTGTACCCCACCCACTTGGGAATACCCCGAAGGGAGGACTGTAACCCACAATTCAACCACAGAGCTGCTGTTTTGGACACAAAACCTACAGGATAAAGACTGGCTCCGAATTTAGGACCTGTTTATGCAAATGTTAAAAAGAGCAGTGCTATTTGTTAAAGTAATACTCTCTCTACATGAATCAACTAATGATGTGCCTGACTGGAGCAGCGGAAGTCTATAAGCTATTTTTGAAAGTACAACTTAATATAGTAATTTAGAATCTATCTATAACAAAGCACATTCCTGTATGTATTCTGTGTAATCCTCCCAACACCTTAGAACACATTAGTCCCTGACTGAAACCACCTGAGGAAGTAACACGATTAGCATGCAATGCTTGCCATTACCCTGAACAACCGCTACAAAACCATTACAAAAACATCAAAGCAGTATTCTTGTTAATTACCTTATCTAGATGTGCATGTGTTGTCTTTACATGCTCAAGCTTTTTCTGCAAACTGAAAATAAGCAAATTTAAATGTCACATTTGAGTAGGGTGGGCAAAATGTCATTATTTTAAAAACTCCAGTATTGCAGAGCAAAACTAAAATACCAAAGATAGACTGTATGCTCAGACTAAGCTTCAACCGTTACAGTTTTAACTTCAAAATAGAAATGTTTATTTACATTTGTTTGCTATTGTTCATCATTTTTTAGAACATTAGGGCTTTTAAAATACAAACACAATTATATTATAGTCCTGATTTGCAGTATCTTTGGTATATAAAATACTTCAGTAAATGCAACACCCTTGGTATTCCTTTGTGTGGGAACAAAAGGCAAACTACATCATTAAAGCAAGAAAGGAAAAATAAATGACTAGAATTTGTCAAGTTATTAGATGTTGATTTTTTTTAAAAAACATAGAAGAATGACTTGAAATTCAAGAAAACAAAATGTGCAAAGCTGTTGCTTGTAGAACGCAATCTGTAAAACTGAAATACTATATACCAGCTTGCACTTCAACTCTGCCGTACAGCTCACTCCCACTATGCAGTGTGCCTGCTAACTTAAAACAAGTCCTCTCTACTTGACAAAGTAATCTGGGGACTTCTTTTGTAAACCAGTATTTAAGGTCCTAGCAGATCATTTCGTGTGCTATCAAAATTTTACTGCAATTTTAGATTATACACCTATGAATGTCTTGAACAGCACAAAATTTCTTCAAACACTGTTCTTCTGCCAGAGAACATTCCCTCTGTCTTAAAACATGCAGGGAAAAAAAACCTGCAGCAGTCACTATCATGACAACCCTCCTGCCACTTTCAAAGAAGATTGCCCATAAAAACCCCTCCGCCTATTCTGATGACTGTAAATTTTAAGAAACCTTTACTGGTGGAGAAAAAGGCACTGACTGATACTGAAGTAACATTTCACATGCCTACTTCTCCATCTTCTTTGCTTTTCTATCTTCTTGTCATACTGCACTTCACAGAATTCAGAATTCTTGATGTGTTTCCAGTGACCTCAGGGGATGTACAAACTGCAAGGTTCTACCAGTACAGCCACACCAATCAGATGTTTTATCTGTCTGCTATGCTGGCAGAAATCCTTACTGCAGTATGCAGTTAGAAGTAAAACTTGAAGTTTACAGGTGTGTATTTCTGCTCAAATGGTGCTGGATGCAAAGAACTTTTCTGTTACAGATGACAGTGCAGAAACCACTACTAATACTTTACGTAGGGATTTCTGTATCTATGAATTGATACCAGGGTAAGCAATTTCACTGTACAGAGTTCAAACACAAAATAAATTGAACTTCATTTAAGACTTCTACAACCTTCTTGGTGCTTTTAGAATTTGTCTTTGAAAGCAGACATTTTAGATTGTTTCCTCTGCTTTAATACCAAATATCAAGAACGTTTAAAGGAATGAGTGAGATATGAGAGAAGAACAGGAAAGCAAGAACAGCTTTTTTTTTTTCAGTCAGATCCTTAAGTACTTTCTCAGATTTGTATAGTGCAGCACTTCCTAACACAGGTTGTGCAGACACCTTGCAGAACATAACCTGATATCAAGCTAATCAAATCTAACTATGAATTGTCATTATTAAGAATGATCCTTTTTCTGGTTCACATCTTACTGCTTTATCCCTGTTGTGTGCCTCCACAATGAGTAAATTTAGTTAACTGATTCATTATGAGAACTTGGGACACAGGTTTATGAACTACTAGTTATCTTTTGCCCTTAAAGGATATATTGGCTTTTCCCTGCCTTTAACTTTCTTTTGGATGCCTAGGCTGATACCACCCTGATACTGCCATTGGTCCCGATCTGACTGGGACATTTAAGGAACACAAAAGAAACAAACACTAGTTTTCACCGATCAGACAAAACCCAGTGCTAGCAAAAACAAAGACCATAGTTTGGGCAGTACTGCACGAGTTCACAGGGAAATGTCACAAGGACATGTTACCTATTAATTTGTATGTCCTACAATTTCCCCCTTCTGTGAATAAGGAATTGGCTACATTCCCTTACCTGAACTGAACAAGGGTGCATCCAGGAAAAAAAATAAACTGATACTGCCCCCAGCTGCATATTCCCCATCTTCTTCTGTGATTGCTCCCCTTCACTC